CAGTGCCCCCTAAGAAATTTAAATGCCCCCCAACCACTGTTCCCTCTAAGCTGAGTTGGTGTGAGCTAAGCTCACAGTTTTTTAGCCTCTGGCTCACACATGTTTGTCTTCGCTCAGGAAGAATGGCTCCAGAGCAAACTAATTTATGCAGCAGCCAAATCTCCTGCTCACAACATTAATGCCAGTAGCTCACAAAGTAGAATTTTTGCTCACAGGGCTACATAGCTTAGAAGGAACATTGCCCCCAACATAGAAAAAAAAATGCTGGCTACGGGCCTGGCCTTTAGGCCAGTGCGCAGGGCGTATCGCAGAATACCGGAGTAGAATCGGTTTCCCCAAATGTTTAAACATTTACAGAATACTCAGTATCTTCTGATGGCTATCCAACTCCGGTGTTTAAAATGCAGAGTGTTAGAATGAAGCATGCATAAGGAGCATGTCAGATATTCTCAGTCAGCAAGAGGTTCAGAGGGAGAGAACGGCGGTGGAGAACTTCTTTGATCTTCTCAGCAGGGAGCCCCGGATGAGGTTGTCCAGAAAACGCTGGCCTATGAAAATACCTACTTGCTGCCTGTTGAAATAATCATTTTAAAAAATAACCAAGGTGTCCCGATTTTGGAAGGGGATTCTTTCTGAGCGAAAGTTCCAACCCAGAAAGTTTGCATCTGAAATTTAAGAAGAAGAAGAGATTGGATTTATACCCTGCCCTTTACTATCTGAAGGAGCCTCCGAGCAGCTTACAATCTCCTCTCCCTTCCCCTCCCCACAACAGATGCCCTATGAAGCAGATGGGGCTGAGAGAGTTCTTTTGAGGACTTCTCTTGAGAGAACAGCTCTGAGAAGTTAGCCTTAAGTGGATTATTATTAGCGGTTCTTTTGTGGTATTTCTTGAACAGCTATTTTTACTGGTTTTGATAACATAAGCATACATATAGAAGAAGAAGAGATTGGATTTATACCCCGCCCTTCACTACCCAAAGGTGTCTCAGAGCGGCTTACAAACTCCTTTCCCTTCCCCTCCCCACAACAGACACCCTGTGAGGTATATTGATCGCACTCAATGTAACTAATAATCTCTCTAATAATTTAGCAAATGTTTATATGCTTTGTAATGGCCACCACCTCTTGGGTTTTTAGAGGCTTTTCTTTCCTTTCACCTGCAGTTTGCAGATGCCCTCCATTATTTCTTGGTAGTTTATAGAAAATGCAATAAAAATATCCCTTCAGGGGTTGTAAAAAGAAGAACAGCTCTGAGAGAACTTGTGTCTGACCCAAGGTCACACCAGCAGCTGCACGTGGAGGAGTGGAGACTCAAACCCTGTCCTCCCAGATTAGAGTCCATGCTCTTAACCACTGCACCAAACAGGCAAAGGGCCAGAATGTGAGAATGTGAAAGCTTTTCAGCATTCCAATGTTCACGAACGTTTGTTTCAGCTTCGACGCCTACACCGCCCTCCCCAGGCTCCACCCCCAAAATCTCCAGGAATTTCTCAAGCCAGAGCTGGCAACCCTAACAGCTCGGCTCCGATTTCCCCAGAGTATCAACACATCGCACAGTTCAAAACCAAGTCCTGGAAAGCCATTCAGATTTCTTCGTAAGAGAACGGGGGTGAGAAATTGCATTCAAATTAAATTGCTAGATTTATGCACAGTGTAGCATACTGGGAATGCCACAGCTCAGTTCATTCTCTGGCATCTCCAGTTTTTGTTAAAAAAAATTAGGTAGGAAGGCTGGGAAAGTTTTCTGCCAGAGACTTCATAATGCATCTGTCTGTCACCGTCCATGGCTAGAAGGTCTGGCACTGGAAACGGCAGCTCCACAGGCCCAATTAATGACGACAGTGCAATTAGGTAGATCGTTATTAATCCTCTAGTAAAAGGATTAAAGTTCTCTGTTTGCAGATTTTCTGCTTCCTCGCCACACAATTCCTTGGCTATGCTCACGCATACATTTAAATAGATTAAAGGATGCAAACAGGAAGTGGTTTAGCGTGATGATTTCCCCCGCACACACCCACACACCATCCATTAGTATTTCGGCACATGCACAAACCCAGAAAAGTTAGCAAATGTCTTTGGGATATTTTTGGACTCGTCGCTGAGCAAAAGCACGGGCGTCATCATTCCGATGAACGTCTCGTCCTTTTCGATAAGAACCTTATGGAAGCTCCCGTGGAAAACCTTCTTCACATCCGGTTGGTCAAAGGCGGCTTCTTCTACATCAGCATCGGAGTCACGCCTGAAGTAGGTCAAGGATTTCTTGTTGGCTAGAGGCGGGGACAGAAAACAGGAGCAACTTTAATGAAATCACCTTGTTCGAGGGGAAATTAAACAGGCGCGATTGATTCCTTCGCCAACGGTGGCCTATCGAACGGGAGCAGAGCGGAGTGCCAGAAAATAATATTTCAAAGGGAAAAGGCTTGGCAAGAACTGGAAACTCAAAGAGCGTCTCACAAAGCGCTGTGCAGGAAACATGGTTTTCGTGGGACGCACCCAACCATATTCAAGCCACATACTGTGGCTTTCCATGTGCTTCCTAACCTCCATTTTGGCAGTCCTAACAGGGTAGCTAGCAGGGGGTTGGGGAAAACCTGGAGCTGGAAGGGGCCATACAGGCCATCTAGTCCAGCCCCCTGTTCAATGCAGGATCAGCCTAGAGCAGTGATGGCGAACCTTTTAGAGACTGAGTGCCCAAACTGCGACCCAAAACCCACTTATTTATCGCAAAGTGCCAACACAGCAATTTAACCTGAATACTGAGGTTTTACTTTAGAAAAAACAACCCATACATTAACTTAAGATGATCCAAACAAAGTAAGGAGAGCAATCCCAAATGCTTTCGTTTACTTAAAATTATTTGGCAGAGAATTCAACACTTGAATGATGGTCTGGGCCTGGCTGGGGCAATGGCACGCGTGCCCACAGAGAGGGCTCTGAGTGCCGCCTCTGGCACCCCTGCGGTAGGTTCGCCACCACTGCCCTAGAGCATCCCTGACTAGTGTTCGTCCAAACTTACTGGGCTGACCCTGCTTAGCTTCTGAGGTCTGATGAGATCAGACCAGTCTAGGCTATCTAGCTCAGGTCATACGTCTAGTCTACTGTTTTGTTTCAAAATACCTAAAGATGGCCCTCTGTGCCAACTCCAAGGTTTTGGGGTTCCCCTAGAACTGTCATTGGGTCATTCCAATGGCCATTGGAAGAGGATGGTGGAGGACAGTGCTGTCAAGTCGCAACTGGCTTATGGAGACCCTGTAGGGTTTGCAAGGTGAGAGACAAACAGAGGTGGTTTGCCATTGCCTGCCTCTGCATAGCAGCCCGAGACTTTCTTGGTGGTCTCCCATCCAAGTACCAACCAGGGCTGACTCCGCTTAACTTCTGAGATCTGTTGAGAGCTGGGTAGGCTGGGCCATCCAGGTTAGGACAAGGGTAGGAGGCACTGTCACAAATCGGAAAACGGGCCCCAAAATGCTGAGGGGTTCCGAAGTCAATGATGGTGCCAGCTACATGAAGTACTCCCTGCAGATCCAAAGGTGACACCTCCCAGGGTTTTCCCAAGTGCCTTCTGGGATAGTGAGGGGGAGGAAAGCCAGGACTGGTATTCCGGGGAAGAAGCAAGTGGGCACCAGGAAACGTATCAACGTGCGCTATGGTGCCCATGGCTGCCACAATGGGGATCACTGTCCTTGAGAATTACAAGGCCTGAGTCCAGGGAGCCAGTTTGGTGTAGTGGTTGCGTGCGCGGACTCTAATCTGGGAGAACCGGGTTTGATTCCCCACTCCTCCACTTGCACCTGCTCATGTGACCTTGGGTCAGTCACAAGCTCTGGCACAGCTGTCCTTGAAAAAGAGCAGTTTGTGTCAGAGTTCTCTCAGCCCCACCCACCTCACAGGGTGTCTGTTGTGGGGAGGGGAAGGGAAAGGAGTTTGTAAGCCGCTCTGAGACTCCAAGTGAAGGGCGGGGGATAAATCCAATCTCTTCTTCTTCTCTTCTTCTCTTCTCTTTAAGACCAGCCACGTTTTATGCAAGGCATAAGCTTTCGTGCGCAAGCACACTTCTTCAGATGCAGTGAAACAGAATGTCCTCAACCACTGGATTCTGTTTCACTGTAAGAACATAAGAGGAGCCAACGTCGGATCAGGCCAGTGGCCTATCCAGTCCAACATTCTCGTCGCACAGTGGCCAAAAACAGAAGGTGCCATCAGGTTCATCAGTGGGACCAGATAGGCATGTTCTAGATAGGCTGGTAGACAGTGCTGGGGAGGAGCCAGCGGTCATGGTACATGTTGGCACCAACGATGTGGGGAAATGCAGTTGTGAGGTCCTGGAGGGGAAAAAAATCTAGGCTGCTAGGTAGGAGACTCAAGGCCAGGACCTCCAAGGTAGCCTGTATCTGAAGACGTGTGCTTGTACACAAAAGCTTATGCCTTGAATAAAACTGTGTTCGTCTTAAAGGTGCCAACAGACTCCGGCTTTGTTCCGCTGCTTCAGGCCAACATGGCTACCCACCTGAATCTATCTAGAGCCTTACACTGTGCATTCACTGGATGAGGGTAAGCATCTATGCTTGCCTGGCTTCATGTGTCAAGAGCGACTCTTTCGCGGAGGGAATTCAGAGCTACAGGGCAAGCTAAATCACGCGACAGGGGTCTGCTAGTGAACAGTGGCTCCCTGTGGAGGACACGCCCACTTACGGTCAAGTACAATGCCAAGAAGCGGCTGGAAGTCTTCATCCGTCACCTGCCACACGGCAAAGGATTCCCTGGGGCTCTCTGGCAGAAGTCGGAGCAGGAAAGTGATGGTGTATTCGCTTGGGATCCCAGAAGGAAACACTTCACTGTGGACACAAATGGCATGCAGAGGATGCCTAAGTCAACCGTGTTGTGATGAGGTCCTAGAGTTAACAGCTGATGATAGTGGCAGCAACAAACCAGGTGATGCGCTAACCCAGGTGCACATGTTTTTATTTTAAGTTAAAAAAAACAAACACCTTTGTGTTTGTGTCCTTTATCAAGTTTATATCTCCGCTACCTGGCATTACATTTTATGACACACATGGCCCGGCCCGACAAAGTCCAATTGATGTCGAATCTGGCCCTTCATAACAAATGAGTTGGACACCCCTGTTTTAGATAATTCCACGAGGACCTTCTAATGTCCTGGCCCCACTGGTGGACCTCCTGATGGCACCTGGTATTTTTGGCCACTGTGTGACAGAGTGTTGGACTAGATGGGCCTTTGGCCTGATCCAACATTGGCGTCTCTTATGTTCTTATGTTCTTAAGAGTTTTCCCCTCAAATGGTGTGGCCCCGCCCCCAGCGTGCGACGTCACTTTTGGGTGATGCGCACGCGGCGCGCACGCGCACATCTAGGACGCCGGCCAGGAGCCCCCCACTCCCGGCCAAAAAACATTTGGCAACCCTAGGTGGTATTGTTTCCATCACAAGCACTTTCGCTTTCTGCCTTCCCTCTCAAGGGACACACTATCCTTGAGAGGGTGAACCCCCACCCCCAATGGTCTTCTGAAATACGAGCAACACGAATGTACCGTGGTGCTGAATATTTGGAGACTCTGTGGAATCTCACAAGTTGGCGTTAAGCGGCTTTGCTTCTTTAAACAAGATTAAAATTATCCCTCCGCTGCGGTAATTAAACTTAAAAAGGGAGCTACAGCTGTTTCTGGGTAATCCAGTCTGTCTTGCTTCGCAAAACTGTAGTCAATAAAAGAGGCTGACGGAAGACATGCCGGGCTGTTGTAAAGCCCTGATTAGGAGGCGGGTGGAAAACAGGGTCCAAAGTCATGGGTTTAATGAGACCGATTGAACTCTCGAGAGGCCACACGGGTTGCCGTGGACCAGAGACGGTTATCACTTGCATATCTCTTTGTGGCTTTCTCACAGCCACCTGGGAAGCATAGTAGTCCCATGGCTATGAACTACGCCAAGGGTTCAAATCCTTGTCTGGCCATAGTAAAAACTGCAGGTGTTATTCACTGCAGTGTCGCTACGCCAAACGGACAAATATCCCACATGTGCAAATCCATTCAGGGCTCTTTTTGGGCAGGAACGCACAGGAACGGAGTTCCGGCTGGCTCCCGAGTTGGCCACGCCCAGCAGGAACTCATTAGCATAATAGGCCACACCCAACAGCAGACACTCATTCGGATTGGCTACATTAAGGGTGTGTGGCCTAACATGCAAAGGAGTTCCTGCTACAAAAAAAAAAAGCCCTGGGTTTTGACAACAAACAAGGTAAACAGAATAAGAAGGGAAAGGTGGGTGTGGCTGGATGACCAGACTTCTGGTAACGTGTGGGTGCGGCCTAATGTGCTAATGAGCGGTGCTGTCAGGGGTGTGGCCTAATATGCTAATGAGTTTCTGCTGTTGGGTGTGGCCTATTATGCTAATAAGTTCCTGCTGGGCTTTTTCTACAAAAAGAGCCCTGCATAACATTATCCTTCATGTGCAGATCAGTATAATTTTTTTTTCCATCATGAGAAAATATGGACAACCCAGGATTGTAAGATCCAGGTTGGGAAACTCCTGGGGATTTGGGGATGGTGCCGGGGGAGGACATGGACCTCAGTGGGGCACAATGTCATAGAGTCCACCCTCCAAATGATCCATTTTCTCCGAGGAAACTGTTCTCTGCAGTTGGGAGACGAGCTCAAATTCTGGGGGATCCTCAGGTGCCACCTGGAAGCTGGTATCCCCAAGATTTAGGTAAGGTTCCAGGGGAGGGTGGGGCTTGAGGAGGACAAGGACCTCAGTGGAGTCCAATGTCCTAGAGTCCACCCTCCAAAGCACCCCTTTTCTCCAGGGGAAACTGATCTCTGTAGTCTGGAGATGAGCCGAAGTTCTGGGGGATCCTCAGGTGCCACCTGGAGGCTGGTATCCCTAAGATTTAGGTAAGGTTCCTGGGGAGGGTGGGGTTTGGGGAGGATATTGAGATATATGTCAGAGTGATTAGAGCTAGTGATTGCATCACCCTGTTAGAGATTGGCTGGGGTTTAGCATAATAGCTATCAGCTTCGTAAGCTGGATGGGGGACTCAGTTCTCATAGACTAAGGCACGACATGCTGTTCAATAGCTTTAAATATCTCTGTATATATTCACCTTTATAACTCTATAAACTCTCTGTGCACCTTCATAACTGGTCAGTCTCCTGCTTCTTATTTACAACACCCAATAGAGGACAGGGACCTCAGTGGAGTCCAATGTCCTGGAGTCCACCCTCCAAAGCACCCCTTTTCTCCAGGGGAAACTGATCTCTGTAGTTTGGAGATGAGCTGAAATTCTGGGGGATTCCCCAGGTCCCACCTGGAAGCTGGCATCCCTATCACGAGCAAAAGCATACATGCTGAGCTGGGAAATGTGCACTCCCCAAAACAAAGGAGAAGAAAATCAGACCCATCCCGTGAAACATCTCAGTACCCCAGCTAACTCTGCCCTATCAGTCAGTGGTACATTCAGATCTCACCCGAGGCGTTTCCCAGTCCAGTTTCTGGATGGAGACGAAACCAACTCAATTAACTTCCACAGATTTCATGTTCAGGGATGCTTGGAAATGTTCTCAGACCACCACCAGGGGGGCTCCCCCCCCCCCACGCCCCCTCGTCTTTCTCAGCAGAAGAGATAATTTCTGCTGCTCTTTAGAGCAAAAATAATAATAATAATTAATAATACTTATATTGTTTTATAGCACATGACAGGGTTCAAAGCACATGAGATACATTCTTGGATTTTTTTTTCATGGCACAGCAACGTTGTATTCTCAAGTTTCAACGTTTGCTTTGAAGTTAGTGTTATTTGACATTGCTGAACCAATTACCGCACAACACTCACCTCACTGAGCATTTGCATTGTTTTAAAGTTGTTGGGGGTTCTTGTGTTCCCTGGCCGCTTCTTCCGTTCTTGGCTTCTTTTGTTCTTGGCTATATTTATCCTGCCTGGCCTTCACTCCCTTTGCCCTCGTTTGCCCTCACTGCCGTTTAACCGGTTGTTTACCAGCACAGTTCAAAGCACCAGTGCTTACCTTTATGTCCTGAACGTGTTTTTATCCAAGAGGCTTGGGGAGACATAGATTGTTCTCTTCTCCTTCATTTTTGTCCTCACAACAACCCTGTGAGGCGGGTTAGGCTGAGAGTGAGTGATTTGGCATTCCTAAGTGGAGTCTTGCCCTTGTAAAACCATAAGCTTAAGCAGGTATAAGGACTCTTCAGCGCTCTCTTTTTCATCTCTGGTGCGTCCCACACCCTATTGCATCTTGTTTCTTCTTCTTCTTCTCCTTTTCTGTCCACGTTTTGCTTCTCTAGTGGTCGACTCAATATTATATCGCTGTATGTCCGGCAAATTCCCTGCCCTTTAAAGCTGCCAGGAAAGATGCTGGACATAACGAGATGTAATATCGGATCAACCACTAGAAGGTGTAAAACACATGCAGGGGGGAAAGGCAACAGGGAGACAAAAGTGATGCAAATGAGAATGCAGAAGAGCTCTAACTCTGCTTAAGATTGCACTGCGGCTGGCCCAACATCACCCAGAAAGTTTAATGCCAACACCCAGCCCTTGACCATGCCCCTTCTCGGCCCTGGCTCTGACTTGGTGGAACTCTCTGACCAGGGTTTTTGTAGAAAAAGCCAAGCAGGAACTCATTAGCATAATAGGCCACACCCAACAGCAGACACTCATTAGCATATTAGGCCGCACCCCCATGTTACCAGAAGTGTGGTCATCCAGCCACACCCACCTTTTGCTTCTTATTCTGTTTACCTTGTTTGTTGTAAAAACCCAGGGCCTTTTTTTGTAGCAGGAACTCCTTTGCATGTTAGGCCACACACCCCTAATGTAGCCAATCCTAAAGAGTTTCTGCTGTTGGGTGTGGCCTGTTATGCTAAT